CTTACAATCTATTTGATAGGGAGGCCAAAAATCGGACCCCTAAGTATTGGAAACCTTGGGTACTGCCCCCACTCAGTAACAGTCTATATTAGGGGTCCTATTAAGGGCTATATATACCCATATTATATCTAGTATCCAAGTGTTACTGTGGGGGGGGGGGCCGTACCCAAACTAAACCCTAAAGACTCAACCTTTAAGCACCCTCACTCCTAAATCCTGAGCCCTCAGCCACAAGTCCTACACCCTAAACACTAGGCCCCCCGAACCCTAAAGCTGGAAACCCCTAAGCCACTAAATCCTAGATAGATGCAAGCTGCATAGGACAAGTTAAAATAGAAAACGCTGAACAAAAATCAAACTCCCCAACCAGAAACGTATACAAGTTGTATACACCCTAAACCCTGAACCATCCTAAGCCCTCAACCAGGAGGGTAAACTGCACCTTAAGCTCAAAAGACCACAAACCCTAAACCTCGAACCCTAACTAAAGCCCAAACCTTGCTCCCTAGAACCTACACCCTAACCCCCCAAACCCCCAAACCCCAAAACCTAACTCCTAAATCTTGGACCCTCAACCCTTAGACCTCAACTCCTACCCCTAGGGATCCAAATAGCCCCATATAGGTAATGTTCACAGACCTTAGGGACAAATGTAAGTATTACCCGAACCCCGAAACTATTTAGAATAATGGCTTGTTGGGCTATGTTTCAAGGATTTTGGCTATTAACTTGCTTACTTTTGGGGCCCAGGTCCTTGTTTTCTTGGATCCCTAGGGTACTTGCTTGAGCATTGCCTGCTGCCACGAGCCGGTGCTGGCCGAGGCCAGCTTGAAAAGCCCCATGGCAGTACATCCATGCATTTAGGGTTTAGGATGTAGTGTTTGGGGTTTAGGGTTCAGGGGTGGGCGTTTGGGGTTTAGAACTTAAGGTTCGGGGCTTCTTGTTTACAATTTAGATTTTGGGGATTAATGGTTTGGGTTTAGGCTTCACAAACGCGAGTGGATTGAGGGTTTACTGCTCAAACCCTAAACCCTAAACCCTAAACTGTTGGTCACTGCAAGTGCGGTGACATCCCTGCTTCTACATTGTTAGTCCAATGTGTTCCTTTCGAAGCTCGCAGCGTGGAAATGGCAGTTTGGCCACGTTCCCAGAACCCTGGGAGGGTGGATTTAAGATCCCTTGTTCAAGCCATACTAACCCTAAACCCTAAATCCTTAACCTTATCTCATTCTCTGCATTATGTTATGGGATTTAGCTGCGAGATTCCTTTTAGTGTCTAGGTTGCTAGTCGACAGAATTGGGTAGTTTGTTGAGCGTATGGTTCTGTATCTAACAAGCCTGAAGGGGGGGAGAGGCTGCGATTAGATAGATCACAGAGAAGTATAGGGTATATACGTAAGTAAATAGAACCCTAAACCCTAAACTCCAAGCCTGAACCCTAAACTCTCAACTCTAACCCCTAAACGCTAAACCCCAAAGATGGCGATCTAGAGATAGAATAAGAAGAGATTCTGAGATTCAGCACACGAAAAACATTTTGAAGGGACGTAGAGATGCAGATCTACGATAGGCGGACTTGACACTCTGCAATAGTGACTGTATAAGGGATATTGAGGACTGTATTAGGGTCCTCATTTCTTCCTATTTTGCCACTATTAGAGGGTGGGGGGGGGGTCCTCCCAAGATCTACGTCTAAACAGACATGAGGACAGTACATCCAAGAGGCATACATCAGCAAGAACATTCGTTTTAGGGTTTGGGGTTTAGGGTTCACGTGGACAGAACAACCAGGAGGAATACATAAAACCCTAAGCCCTAAACATTAAACCCAAAACCCTATGCCCGAGAGAGATTACTATAGGGTCCTGGGCTTTGCAGAATACCTCAGTTTGCAGAATGCCTCAGAGGTTTTCAAGGGTTTAGGGTTTAGGGGGTAACACTCTTCACTATCAGTTCAGGGTGTCTTCACGAGGGCTCTTGATGAGGAGGCCACCTTAAACCGTGTTCGTCTCTTGTTACCAGCCCTAAACCCTAAACCCTATTCCCGAAAAATACTCACTTGGGCAGTATGGGCACCTGAGAGGGGCCCTTAGTATGTGCCTCGTTTAGGGGTTACGGTTGAGGTACATACTGGGTTTCCTAGCATTAAACGTGCCAATTTGAAAAAAGAGGGGCTCATGAAGACCACCCCCTTACTTCCCCCAATTACAAACATACCCTATCCAATATCAATACATATTCGGAGGAATATCCAGCATTGGAGGGGGAGGGCGTTATTATTAGGGGCGCAGAATTGCTCATGACATTAGACCTCCGAACAAGGTTTTGCGCTCAGGGTTTAAAGGTGCGCGTTCCCCACTTGCCTTGGGTGATTCCCTCATCACAGCAACTGTCTTCAGACGGTCTTCTGAAGAGATTTCCTACTACCTATTGTGGTACCTGTTACGTTAAGGGGGAATGACCGACTGACCCAACCTCCACCCTAAACCCTATACCCTAAACCCCTCAAAAATTCGATCTTCCGAGTCTCATCTTCCTTCTTCAAATGCAGGGTTTAGGCTTGGGTTTAGGGTTTAGGGTTTAGGGGTTAGGGTTTAGGGTTAAGGCTTGGGTTTAGGGTTTAGGTTTTAGGCTTGGGTTTAGGGATTAGGTTTTAGAGTTTAGAGGTTAAGGCCTAGCTTGCAAACGACTGACTGAACTATCCGGAAAAAAACAAACTTCAGAGCCTGAAGGCTTCGACGACGTGCCGCCCCCAACCCCCAGCACCAACAACAAAAATGTAAAACACAAAAAAATGGCAATGGCACTCTGGCCTACCTGAGCTTCAGGCTTTCTTCCGCCTTCTCCAGCTTCTTGTTCCACTCTTTGGTCTGGTGGGCAGTCAGGGTGAATTCCATGTGAGCTGTAATCTAAACTCCTTGAAAGGAGGTTATATCGGGGAGTATATAGGGGACCACTATATGGCTTATTATGCGGAATAGCAGGAATTTAGATTATGGCTCATGTGTGCAGAGGGGTGGTGCAAAACCTCGTGTACATGGGAGGTTCCCAAAATCAGGTTCCCCTTTTGGTACCCCTAAACTTTAGGTGCCGTAGTATACTTTATATCCCAAAGGGGCCCATAATCTTAAGAATAACCCGAATGGTACTTACTAAGGACCCCAATTCGGTTTCCTTCGTTGGAACGATATTCTTCTTCTGAGGAACCGAGACGAAGTTACCATCGTATGGCTAGATATTAAATAATGCGGGTTCTTCATAACGGTAACCTGGTTTTTGCTAGCCGGCAACACAACCTCTGGTCCCTAGGTCACCCCAGCCCCTGGAACTCTAAACCCGAAACCGATAAGACCAGCCCTGCGGGCCAAAGTAGCCCTGAGGGTCGACAGGTACTCAACAAGGGACCCCAGGGCTTAGGGTTTAGGGAACTATAGGGATATCTAGGGATGTTTAGGGCTTAGGGGGTGAACCGCTGACTGGATGCTTGGGATTTCGGCAACAGAAACTGCCTAAATTCTGTACAGGTATTCTGGGCTGCTGTTAAGGAACTGAAGTTAAGTTACCATAGTGGGCATACAAATAGTGATTAATAGGGTTTCCCCAATATGGTAACTTAAATTGATTTCCTTAACCCTAAACCTTAAATATCCCTAAATACCCCTATATAAATACCCCCTGTATACCCT